CCCCCCCCCCGCCGCGTGGTTGGGAGCGGCGTGAATGCGGGTCCGGGGAGCGATCGACCCCTCAGCCGGCCCCGGGCTGATCCTGCCTCCCGCTGTCCGACTTACCCCGGGTGCGGTGTGGTTTTGGCGGTAGTTCGGGGAAGGAAAAAGCGGCTGGAAGTGGGCTGGTGCTGAGAAGGCGCGCTGCCGCTCGTGTCTGCCCGACAGGGGTGGCGGTGCCTGTTGCTGCTGCTGCTGTTGTTGTTGTTGTTGCCGCCTCTCCTCCCCCTTTCGCTGCTCCTGTGATCGTGACTTGAAGGTAGAAATGGTTAAATGCCGGCTTTAACGAAGCGCTTGGCGTACGAATCTGAAAAAAAAACCAAGCCACTGCCGGGAAAAATACTGGGAGATAACATTTTAGTAGCGTTGACAGGAGTACTTCTGGGGACAGGGAAGCTAAGCTAGCGTAAGTCTCTTAGTCGTACGTTGGGTAACATATCATGTGCAGTTTTGTAGCTGTACAATATATGGACATGTCCTGTCTTAAGTTTTGGTGAAAACTTTAAAGCAAATATTGTCTGTGTAGGCATTGCTTTAAACGTTTGTTACAATTTTTCTGGCTAGCTGTCAAACTCTTTGATTCATTTGTTTCACACTGTGATGCTGTGGGTCCTTTGTAAATTGCAAACGAGACTTACTTGGAGTGGATTTAAGAGTAAGTACAAGAAGATGGTGTTTCAATTTTTTATTCTGACGATTGATGAAAGCAGCTTTAGAGACCGGCTAGTAGATGTGAAAGAGTGCAGGAACAAGCAGGAGGAAAATGTAAAATTGTGGTGTGAGATAGAAGGGTCTCTTTTGGATTATTAATTTAAAAGATCTCATAAAAAAGATATAAAGGTGGTAGTAACACAGTGCTGACACACATTAAACTTACTTCTTCTTGAATCATGTTAAATGAGATGCTTTTCTTTTCTTGTAGTAAGAGTCCAGGATGAGTTATGCAGAAAAACCTGATGAAATCACGAAAGATGAATGGATGGAAAAACTTAATAACTTGCATATCCAGAGAGCAGACATGAACCGCCTTATCATGAACTACCTTGTTACAGGTGAAAATGAGTAGTAATGCTAGGAGGCTCTTAAATGTATGTCACTTACTTTATCGAGACAGACAGTTTTGGCTAGAATATGCTACTAGATGGAGTGAAATTAAGGGCTTTGAGGACTTTGTGATTGCTGTTGGCTTCTCTTAGCAATGTACAACTGCTCTTGCGTTCTCTTAAGTGGAAACTGACTAAGATTCAGAGGCCGAGTACTTATCATGCGATAGAAGTGACATTTATTAACCTTAATGCTTCTGCTAAAAGATATAGAAAAGAAAGTGTTTTCTGGAATGCTTTAAACAAACATGACCCGCTTCTTTATGATGTTCTTTTTTGTGTCGTTAAAACAGAGTTCAAGATACATTGCAGTTGTTAAATAGCGCTCTGAAAGTTGCACAGAACAGCTATCAGAAGCAAGTTTTAACTGGCTAGAAAGATAAACTCTAAAAGGGCACTGCTGTCAAAATAGTTTGAGACCAAAAATATTAACTTCTTCAGCATATAGCCTAATTTTATACTTAGAACAATCAAAAACCCTCAGAAATTGTCCCTAGCAATTATGATGCATACCATCACAGTAAGCTATACTAGGGCGGAGGCATTTGTATCCGATCTACACCCCTGTTTACATTAGTGTGTAGGTGAAGCCTCTGGGAGGAAGGAAGAGCATCTTAGTGGGTGGCGTAAATCGTTTTTGTGTATATGAAAGCATGACTTAGGATTTAAAATAGCTGTTAGAACTTAAAAAAAATATAGCGTTAGTACAAGAAAGCAAAATTAATTTTATTTTTCTATTTCTTCTCAGTAAAAAACTGCTAGGTCTGTGTAAACAGATTTGGGGGCTGGAGGAAAAAGCAAAACCACCCAGATTTTGAAAATGTGATTTTGAAAATCCCATTTTGGAATAAGTACACTGCTCTAAGTATAAAACAAGCTTTCAAGTTAAGAGGTAGTGGATTACAAGTTGCATGCATCCTTAGAGAATGAGGGCACAAGAGTTAAGAATGAATTAAGCGTGTACTGTTAGATGCCTGTTGAATAAATGCCTGTCTAAATAGAGAAGAATTTTTCAGAAGTTCGGACTTAATCTTTAAACGCCCAAAATGCACAAGCAATACTCAAGTCTTTTCATTTAAGCTAATGGGCTTTTTTAAGGTGTTTCATAAAATGTATTTTATAGGTAAAATATTTCTATTTCAGAGGGCTTTAAAGAAGCAGCAGAGAAATTTCGAATGGAGTCTGGAATTGAACCCAGTGTTGATTTAGAGACTCTCGATGAAAGAATAAAAATTCGAGAAATGATATTGAAAGGACAGATTCAAGAAGCCATTGCGTTAATAAACAGCCTCCATCCAGAATTGCTAGATACAAACAGATATCTTTACTTTCATTTGCAGGTAAGGACAGGTGGCACACTTTATCTTTGTTTTAGAAGTTGCTGAGAGACTGGAAAAAGTATTGCAGATTTTATGAGTACGTTGGGAAGTTTGTGACTGAATATGGATGCAATTTCAAGTGTTTGTTCTTGGCATCGTTTTGTAGCAACAGGAAACTGTGGCATGGTGCAGAAACCATCATACACAATTAGTAACATGAAAACTTGTAACAGCAGCAGTGGTCTGTGACTTACCAACTTCCATTTACTGTTAGACTGAATTTCCAGTAGTTCCTTTAGTAACACATCTTTTCAAAACGTGTTACTGAAGAGCGTCAGGTTACCTTTCAGTAGGTTTTGTAGACAAGTGTGCCGCTCCTTGTCTCACACGTTGAGGAGAATTGACCTCAAACTGTCAAATTATGGATTAGCGTTTGTCTCAAATTACACACTAATGTCTGAAGATTACAGTCTTGAAATACTGAAGATTTGTTAATTTGTTTAGCTAATATTGCTGTGTCTTTCATATATAGCAGCAGCATTTGATCGAACTGATTCGGCAGCGTGAGACAGAAGCAGCTCTGGAATTCGCTCAGACCCAATTAGCAGAACAAGGCGAGGAGAGCAGGGAATGTCTGACAGAAATGGAGCGTACGCTGGCTTTGCTTGCCTTTGATAATCCCGAAGAATCACCATTTGGAGACTTGCTTAACATGATGCAGCGACAGAAGGTAGTCCTTTCTCAAAAGGAAATTGATGTCTTTTATTCGTATGTGGTGAAAATAATGTCCAAATATTTTTGAAATGTTTAGAGAAAACTTATGTGGTGGTATGCAAGAGAACAGAAGTATTTCTTAAACAAGATTAAAAAAACCTGGTGTTACTGTATTCAACTACTTGGCTCTCTTCCTTGTTTTCTCCAGGCTCATAGTCTATGGAGCTTTGTCCTGACAACGTTCAGAGGAATTAGCACACTAGGTGTGATCTTTTCAATGTCTGTGTGACACTAGCGGTGTTAATCATATGAAAACTATTACTGAACTCCAGTATTTCTTTTCCAGGTATGGAGTGAGGTTAATCAAGCTGTTCTAGACTATGAAAATCGTGAATCAACACCCAAGTTGGCAAAATTACTGAAACTACTACTGTGGGCTCAGAATGAGCTGGACCAGAAGAAAGTGAAATATCCCAAAATGACAGACCTCAGCAAGGGGACGATTGAAGAACCCAAGTAAAATGTGTGCAGATGGACATCAAACAATCTTAGTACTGCACAGTATACATTTATATCAGTCTGTGACTGAAATATTTTTACTACAGTACAGCACTCAATTCAGATTTTTCAATGAACATCTAATTTGAAGGGAGAAAAGTCCCTTTTAAATGCTGCAAAAACTGCATTGAAAGGCGCTGTATCTCTTTGAAAGTCTGACTTAGGCTATGCACTATAATACATTTTTAAAAAACAATTAAAACAGGACAGGAAACATAGCATTTTTAAAAGTACAGAACTCAAGCTTTCTAATTGGCTACTGATGCCTAGTTTAGTGGCCAGTGAGTCGATACGGAGTTATATTGGCAACTATTCAGTTAAGTTTAACTGTCTCCTGTTTGAAATGTGTATATAGAACAGTGAATATTTTCTACCTTTAAGTTATAGCCAGATATACATTCCCCTTAAAAGTAACTGGTCAAGTTTTCATCTATAAACCTTGCAGTAAGGTCAACCTTTTGCTTAGGAAATAGTGTACAAACTTGTAAATCATAATTTAAGGACTGTTTTGGGGGTTTTTTTGTTTGTTTGTTTCTTTTTTTTCCTTGTTTCTGACTTTTTGGTGCTTTATATGGTGAGAGCTATGTTCATAACGGATCAGTGACCCATCTTTTCAGGAGGAGTATTGTTGGAAATAAGTTTTTTCTTAATTTTCATGAATGACCAAAATGGCCCCCAGAGGCATTTGAGGGTTTTTGTTAGCAGGGGTCTTTCCCCCCTATAATAAATTTGCAGCTGTAGACACTGCAGTGATTCCAGCAGGCTACTAAAGCTTTGAAGGCCACTGGATGTTTGTAAGCTGAAGGACATGCTTGTGTTAGGAAATTAAGTGGAGGGGAGAGATGCTCATTGAAGCCTCTGATGCATCATCTTGCGTAGGATCTGCCTTCATGCTTGCTGAATAAGAATTGTAGTTTTAGAGCTACTTGGGCTGTTTTTATGCCTTGAGCTGAGCAGAGCGGGGCTGTCTAAAAACAGAAATTTCCATTTTCTCAATTCTTCCATACCTTTCTGAAGAGATGCAGTTCATCTTCACCTGTATTTGTTTACTGACTGTCCTCACTCTAGTTAGGATTATAGTTTTAATGTTTTACATGTGAAGTCCAGACTTTCAAGTCAACAAATTGTAATCTTCTGGGTATGGGATGTTCTGGTCGACTCAATTTTGCAGCACTGTACACTGGTATATATCCAGTGGTAGTAAGCACTAATCTTGCCAAATCGATCTCTAGAGTTTTAGGTCCGTACATCAAGTTATTACAGATTTGCTGAACAAAGACCGAGCTGATGGGTGAAATAGCTTAACATCATGAAACACTGGCAGTTGTCACACCAGTCCCATACTGTACATAATCTAGTCTTGTATGGTAGATATTACCCTGTAGAATGAAACTTAGTTTTCACTTAATTTTACTGGAATACTTACGCATTAAACTGTATAAAGCTTTGCAGATACACCTGACTTACGGAAACTAACAAAACCTGTTACTGATTGCATTACTGTGAACACTGTTTACTTGTGTAGCTATTTTTTGTGGGGGGAAACCGTAGTTTGTTAAGCAGCTATTAGAGATGCGGAGCGCCAAGGTTAAGCTAGATGATGGATATAACAAAATTATTTGTTCCCATTTATTACTGATCATTCTGTTCTCCACTTTGAGGCATTTGTGGTATGGAGGTCTTAACAAACAAGCTATCAGTAGCCCCCCCCAACTACAACAGTCGTCTGGCTTTCCTTCACCCAGGCTGGTTATTCTAACACCAAACTTTTAACAGTTGTGGGTTTGGGGTTTTTTGGGTTTTTTTTGGGGGAGGAGGTTGGGTTTTTGGGTTTGGGGTTTTTTTGTGTGTGTTTTTTGGGGGCTTTTTCCAGTCGGTTGATGTCTGAAAACCATGTATAACTTTTAGTTTGTGAGAAACTGTATGGTTAATGTAACTTTGTTTAATAACAAACTAGAGAAACAAAACTGGAATAGCTCTAATTTCTTCATATATAACTGATCAGCTTTTCCTCTGTTCTGAGACTTGCATTGTTAAATCTCATCTGAAGCTTCTCCCGGATGAAGTGGAAAGTGGTGCGTTTTTGTGGCATGACTAGCATTTTTCTCCATGAGAAATGCAGTATTACAGTCCTGGTTGAGAAGTTCACTGTACTTCTAGAACGCTACATTAATTTCATATAGTATTTGGGCAAAGATTGAGCATAGATTACTTGAATTTTCACTAGCTTTTTTTTTTTTTTCCATTAAAAAATAAACATGTTTTTTAAGGGGTTTAATATAAAATTAGTATAGAACTATTTCACTTTGGTTTTATGAACATGCCACATTGATAAGCAGCTTTAATCTGTAAAGTTTTTGGTAACTGCAAGAAAATATTCGAAAGCTATGCATTTTAGAGAAAGCATAAAGGTAGTGATATTGGTACTTCTAAGGATCTTTATATTAGTGTATATAAAATAGTTTGCATATACAAATATAATATATAATCTGTTTGAAATATTCTTGAATGGTAGGGGCTGTGAAACATAATTTATGGAAATATTGTACACAGTAAACAGACGTCTCAGTACACGAATGAACTTTTGTCATATGCATGAGAAGTGTCTTATTTGGTGACTACTAATGAATGGGATTTTGTTAACCCATTTTTGTTAGATAACCACTTTAACAAATACTATTAAATGCCACTTTGATCAGTTTGCTTTAGTGTAAAAATACATATTTTGTTCCGCTTAATTTAGAACAATACGAAAATAACTTTTCTAGGAAGATTTGTTCCAAACTCAATGGTGGCAGACAAATCTGGTAATTAAACGTGGTACACTACACTCATTCCTCCCCCAGCCTTTCCTTTGTTGAAAGCAAGTAAGATTTTTTCATTAATGCTATGGACGTGAAGAAGTTGGGTTGCAAAATACCCTGTCTTACATGCCTCTGCAGAAAGGCTGTATATCAAGTGTGTTTTGATTAGGCTACAAATCTCTCTCCTTTTCCAAAACCTATCACCTCGCTAATAACTGTCGTCTTCGCTTTTACCATGTTTCTTTTCTGCCTGTCAAATCTAAGCTAAACTGTGGTTGCTTCTGTTGTACAATGGAGTCATTTGTGAAGGGTGGGGGGGGATAACAGGTTTCCATGAGGATGAAGTACTAGTGGTACTTTCTGAGAAATACTTACGGAACTGTTTAATTTTATATAGCTGGAAAAACAGAGGCTGCTGCACAGAAACTAACAGCAGAATTTTAAGTAAAGGATTTCCTCTCAAGACTTTTGAAGAGGCAAACATACAGAGCTTGAAACCAGGTGAAGTACCTCTTTCTCTTTAAGATGATTTCATTGAAACGCTTTCAGCTCCTTCCACCCACATTAAAAGAAAAATTGAAATGAATGTGGAGAGCACTTATGTAGCATTTAAGATATGTGAAATTACCTGGAAAGAGTTCTGTCTCCTTTCCACTCCTTGTACATATAGGGGAAGCCATTACATTATTCTAGGATGATTTTATTGTTTTTAATTTGTAAAATTTATGCTTTGTATGCTTGAGTATAAGCTTAAAAGCATTACTTAAAAAAATCCTTGACTAGTAGATGAGTGTTGCTCGACTTATTTCAAACCACTTTCTGTCCAAGTTCGTTACGAAGCTTATTAAATTGAGTTGGAGCGTGATCCCTCTGTGTCTTATCTTCACGGGTAACGGGGCCTCCTGCTGTCAACAGCAGCTGAAAGCATCCTTGAGATACTTACCTCAAAGAATATAAAAGGATATGGAGTCATATTTTTCCCTAAATCTGCCTTTAGGCTACAGCAAGTTGAGATGGGTTCAGACCTGCACTGTAGGTCTCTCTGCCATCCAGAAGCAATGTCGCCGGTCAGTATTTGTTTCTGCTATAGTGTTCTTAACGAAAAGGGACGAGTAGGGTTTATAGCTGTTGCATGAACAACGGTGTCCCCCTGCCCTGCTCGTCAGCTAGTTTGCTTTATGTGCTTAGCTGTGCAGAGACAAAACACAAAGCTTTATGAACAGCACCCTCAAAAGCATTTGTATTTCTCAATAGACACGTCGAGGTGCTAGAAACTATTTTTATTCCTTTTGTCTCTGCTCCTGCCTTCGGATGATTAAATTAAGGACAAGATTGGCCAAACTACCGGTGGGCTGCACATTGATGCGTTCAGGCACCTCAGAACCAGAAAGCCCTGTGCATTCTCTGTCATGCTCTTCATGTTAAATGGGGATTCCAACGATATGCAGCTACCTTACACCCAGCTGGCTGAATTTCTGCATTGGAGTTGCTGTTCATTTGAAGACAGCCTCAATTTGTCAACTTTTCTGAGCATTTCCTTATTTCTCAGCATATTGCTGTCTGCAGCAATTTTGCAAAGTTGCATTATATAGCCCTAGGAACCACATGCGTTTTCTTCAGACTGGACAAGTTGCGTTGAAACTGCTCTTGGTTAGCAGGGAGTGTTCAAGCTGCAGTCGGACTGGCCTTTCAGGAGACAGTTGTCCTTTATGGAATGTGTGAGCCTATTTCTCCTTTCACACCCCTTCAGGATCTGGTCGCGATGGGTGCTTAACTTTGTAAAATCTTCAAGTAATACAACCATTGTGTGGATAAACTTCAGTGAGAGTAAATGTCAGCCCAAATAATAACCCAATAATCTTTTGTTTGGTTTAATCTTTTGACAGATTAAGCTGAACGCAGGAAAAACTAAAGGAGATTGTGTTCTTGCATAAGATTATTTTCTTTAGTCAGCCCCTGTCTTCTGAACTGATTCCATTTGCCATTTAGTCAGCTCAGTGGGAGGTTTGCTTCCAGAAATTATGCAGCAGTAAAAGGAACGATGGCCATATTTTTACTTTTTAAACTTATTTATGTGCATGTGATGGACGTTACGCTCAAACACTTTTTTTAACTGCAGCTGGTTTTGACAGTGAAACTAGCTTCATACGTGAGAGGCAAATTAGTCAAAGAAGCTATTAATTGAAGAGGTAATACTGAGCAGTAAAGGAAAGGAACTGAAGAGTACAACAAATAAAGAAAACTTTGTGCGATGTGCTTGATTTCCAAATTGAATCATAATTTTAGTAAGTTAGTAGCCACTGTTGCAGTGTCCGTATTGGAAGTGCTTGTATCCCACAGCAGTGAGACTTAACATAATACTAACTCATACACGGGTATGAGTTAAGTTTTCTGTATCTGTGATTGCTGTACCGTGCCCAAGACCTCTTCAGTTCTTTTTCTGAGCTTATTACATGCATTTCACTTCTGTAGTTACACTTCTGCAACTCATCTCCCCTCCTGCCTCAAATTAACTTAATCCAAACTTACACACTATTTAAAAAAAAAAACATTGAACAATGGTTTTGATTTTTGGCTGCGTTTTACCACGACTTGGCTCCCTCTTCTGGAAACGGGCACAGTAGCAAAGTATGTACTTTATAGTTTCCAGTCTCCTGTCCAAATGAAGGGAGGAAAGCCTACAACTGGATGAAGGCTAAGCCCTGTGGTTACTACACATGGTTCCCCTCAGTTTCCACTTGTACCAAAGCTTGTTGTATTTGTTTTCTCTGTTGGTAGTAGGAGTGCGCGACTGTGTGTGGCTATGCCACAGGCCTTTTGGGGTAGATCTCAGTCCTCTGAGGAAGAAATGCTGAAGCGAAGGACAGAGTATGATTTTACGATTTTTGTCAGCCCTGGTGACCTCCTTCTTCTGGAGTTGTCTCTATGGTGCGTAAGGAACCTTTTTGCTATTTCAGTCTCTTAAAGTTCAGCTCAATAATACTGTTAACCCTCTTGATTTAAGTAGCTAACTACTCTTCGGGGACCTGCGAAGTATTCATGCTAGAAGAATGGGTGAGTTAGCTAAACATTAGTCTGCTACAGACTTAATTTTAATGAGCATTTACAGGCTGCTGGCTGCAGGAGTAGCAGCTGGGAGGTGCCTGCACCTGCGCCCTGTACTTTTTTGGTGCAGCCCAGAAGCTTTTGAAACCTTTCCCAAGGGCCACGTACGACCTTGGTTGGGCTGTGCCGGAGCTCCTCCATCCTTTGCTGCCCTGAAGTTTTGCCATGCCTGCATCCAAGCCACAGAATCACCTGAACGATGTCTTAACAAAGCTCCTCCACCTGCTTATTCATGTTCCTGAAGTGAGTCACGAGTCCTCTTGTTTTGGACCGAGATAACCATCGTTTTAATTATCTGCTTCCATAAAGGAGTCTGATTATCTCTCTCAGATAACTTACAGCAAGGCAACGGCTCTATCCGACAGAGTTAAATCAAGCTGTAACAATAGGGATTCCTATTTCATTTTTCCTTAAATTCTTTGGATGGGAATATTATATTCCGTTCTGATCCTTAAAAAGCAGAGGCAGAGACTTTTCTGCTGGAAAGCTGAAGGGGCCGGGGGCTGTCTTGCCATCTGATTATCTCTCTCGGATAACTTGCAGTGAGGCAACAGCTCTATCTGACAGAGAAATCGAGCTGTAACAATAGGGATTCCTATTTCATTTTTCCTTAAATTCTTTGGATGGGAATATCGTATTCGGTTCTAATCCTTAAAAAGCAGAGGCAGAGACTTTTCTGCCGGAAAGCTGGCGGGGCAGGGGGCTGTCTTGCCAACAGCGTGAGGATTGTTGCGCTTGCCAGGTATTGGGGGGAGAGGACAGAGCCTGTTTAGCGCCCGCTGTTAACCCCCCTAGGTTTTACCCACGGGGGGGTGTGAGTATTTACCAGAGGAAGAGGAAAACATAATAAAAAAATACAGAAAAAGAGAGAAAACCCCCCAAAGTAGTGGGCGACGGCCGGAGAAAACGAGCCCCAGCCGTGGTCGGGGGTCCGCGGGTTCGAGGCTGCCCTAGGACCGATGAGAGGTTTGGGGGGGGTGAGCAGGATCCCGCCCGCCCCCGGCCGCTTTGCGGGCGGCGGGACTTCCCGGAACGGCGCGGGGGTGGGGGGGGTGGTGGAAGGCGCTGACACGTGGCCGTGGCTCGGCGAAGGGGGGAGGAGAACCGGCGGCCGCCGCGATGTGAAGCCGGGAGGAGGCGGAAGGCGGCCGCCCGTATGGCCGGGGGGGGCGAGAATGTGCCGGTGTGCAGCGCCGAGCACGGGGCCCGGGCGGGGCAGCACGACGGGATGAGGAAGGACGGCGGGGGGGACCCGTACTGGTCCAGGTAAGGCTGGAAAACCTCGCCGGGACACCCCCCCCCCCCACCCCCCCAGGCCCGGGCGAGCTTAGCCGCAGATATTCCCCCGCCAAACTCCTCCACGTCGTGATGCTGCTCCTGGAAAAGATACGGGAGGGGGGGGTCGGGGAGCCTGAGGCGGTTTCGGGAGGTGCTGGGTGCTCCCCGCCGGTCCCGGGGTCTCCTCTCCCCGGGGGGGGACCCACCGGCCCGGGCAGTCCCCGCTGCGTCACTCCGGCAGAGACGGGAGAGGAAAAGGGGGAAGATAGGGAATTCCTGTGAAATACTGGGGGGAAAAAAAAAAAAGTGTATCGAGGTTATTTCTGGCCTGTCGTCAGGTATTTAAACACGCCGTTGAAATCGCTGTGAGGTTCTTATCGACGTGTTCCTTGCAGGGATGTTTGTACTGGCGGTAGTAATTAATTAAGACAAAGTCTGGAATAGTAACCGGGCGGCAGCTAGACGGCACAAACTGTTCCTCAAGTTAACTAATTGAAATACCTAAAGATACTCTTAAGCCCAAACTGACCACTTTTAACAGGAGGGACGTAAGCAAACGCAGGGTGCTCTTGTGTTTGGAGCAAAAGCCACGGACCCAGGACGGAGCTGGGACGTTTGGGGCAGCTCTGCTCCCCCCTGCCACCCTGGGAAAGTCACCCAGCACCCCGACCTCAGGATCCGCTGCTTCTCCCGTCAGAGGCGGCGTGAGATGGCGATGGAGAAGTGCCATGGGGCAGCTGGAAGGGATAGTCGGAAGCTTTTCCAAACCGGGAGACTTTACCGCGTTGCCCCCGCGCTTTTGAAATTTGGTTCGGTTTAACGCTGCCACGAAGAGGAACTCGGGCCGGGTAGGAGAGCCGGCTTTAAACTGCCGTCCCGAGGGAGACTTTTCCTGCAGTCAGGGACCTGGCAGTCTAATCAGTCCCACGCTCATCTCGGGAGTAAGGGGGTAGGTCTCAAAAGCAGACCTTTGGCGCTAGGGTGGCTTAAAATGTTAAGATTCTTTTCCCCCAAAAGCAGTTAGGAAAATCCCTTGTCTCTGTCTCCCCCTTTCTAACTTTTCACTGAGGCTGTGTGAAATGGGAGTGGTGGGAGAGGAAGATCCTCAGGCCAAAGTTTCATTAAACAGTTTCCATTTAGATGTTTATCCTCTAGAAAAATAATTAATACTTTGGGCCAGAGCAAACCCTCCAGTTTCCCAAATCTCTTTTGAAAAACACGAACCATCGATAACACTTTCCAAAACAAAAGAAGTGATTTATTTATCGAGACGGACGTATTTTGAAAGCGACTCTGACCACCTTAAGTGCCGCTAGTAATTGAAAGAATCCGGTTAATGCAAAAAAGCGGCAGGCTAACCATAACTCCAATCAGATCGTTATCTGTATCGCAGCAATTCACACAAGCAGAGATCACCTCCCTGTTGTCTGGCGTAGACACGCACGGTCGCAGCCCTTGTTTGGGGAGGCTTTATGGAGGCTTTATGGTCTAACGTAAAGAGGGCAGGCGGAGGGTGGGAATGGGAAGGGGGGAGCAGAAAGGGGGAGCGATCCGCCAGATCAGGCCAGCAGGCTAGTCGAGTTGTATAAAATACCTCTTTGGATGGTTTCGAGTCAATTTGGTGGACACTTTTCGAACAGCATATGCAAATAAATAGCTCTCGACGTTTCCAAGTAGTGAGTTATTGCCATGGAGGCAAGGTTTTATCAAGTGGGGGAAGTGACATGGGTTCTCCTTTCATGCTCCAACAAAAGACATGCCAGGCAGCCTTCCAGGATCTGTCTGCACCATCAGTGCAAGGAGAGATAAACAGTTATCTTGGCAGGTTTATTTTTCCATCTTTGTTCATGCTGCTTCTTTTTTTGTCCTCCCTTTTTTCAGCTGGCTTTTCCTTCCTCTTCCACTGTTCTTGCCCTACGTTTTATCCTGCCTCTCCGGCTGCCTTTCCCAAACTTTTCTGCAGGTTTCCAATGGCTCCATTATCACACATCTCCTCTTCCTCTTCCAAGAGCAACGCTCAGGGATTTCTGTCTGGGGCTTGAGTTTATGTAGCACGCCGGGACAATTAGATAGCACTTTTTAATGGAGATCTGAACATGCCAAAGCAGGACTCTTCAGGCAGTAGGTGTGTTTTAGCATCCATCTCTGGTTTAGCTGGGGGAAGACCAAAGCGCTGAGAAGAGAAATCTATTGCTGAAGGTTGCACACAAAGCCACGGGCAGATCCAGCCTTAGATATGGGGATCACATTTTGGATGGTGCCTCCTGGAGAGAAATACAACATGGAAAAGTCAGTGTGTTCTGGGAAGCAAATGACTCCTGAAACCACTCTGCATCTCCCAGCCTCTGGCTACATCTGAAGACAAGGGGTTATTACAGCAGTTTCTTTAAGCTCCAGAGATAAAAGGAGTTGTACCACCAGCCACAAGCTGGTCTCCAGTCGCCTGACTGCTCTTTGCCTGGAGCCAACGGTCACGGGTTTTTTTCTGAATTCTGTGCCCTGACCTTTTATCAACACAGTGTCGCAGCGTTAGTTGCATATTTTGTTTTGGTGGTTGGGGATTTTTTTATTGAACAAGTTCCTCACCATGGTTTTAATCATGCCTTGCTGAGAACTTATTTCACGTGGAAAACGTAAGCAAGACACGCGTTTCATTCCTGGCTGAAGCGTTTCATTCCTGGCTGATCCATGCATGCCCTTAGATCAGCGTGCAAAGCACGCGTGTGCTTCATTATTACATTTTCCCACTGCCTCCACCTGGCCTTAACAACTATTTCCAGCTCATACGAGCTGCTGAAATCTAATTTCATCTTCGCTTTTGCCGAAAGCAAGAAATGAAGAGAGGGAATAAACCCAGAGCCGCGCTTGCTGAACACCACTTTGTTGCCATCTGCGGCTCTGCGGAGGGAGTTTGTGCACAGGAGGCTGACAGGAAACCAGCAGCTTTCCCAGGGAAAAAAAGCCCTGTGTCCTCTGTGCTGCTCTCGCTGGCTGTTAGCTGGTGGATTGGAAAAAATAAAAAAACACCCACAGCCCTTCTCTAAACCCCAAAGCTACTTTTGACAGCGACAAATCATTAGCTTGGAGCTGGTCTGCAGCATGACAAAATCAACTCGAGGAGGGGCGGAAAAAAAAACCACCCCAAACCTCTCTCTTGACAAGCGTGTTAGATTGTCAAGGGAAGGAGAAATTGTTGTTGGGAAAAACAAAGAGAGAGAAGCGAGCGGACTGTCAAACCGGGTTAAAAATAACTACCTGGGTATTATCTCCTTGCACAGGAGTGTCTGCGTGACCGCTGTGTTTGCGCCACATCAGTCAGGCCGTGGTCGAGTTGGAGATTACTGTAAATTAAAGCCATAGGCAGGTAAGCTGGAAAAGAGGTTTTCGAAGGGGGATGCCCCCGTGGGGCTGGGAATGGGTGACGAGGAGGGAAACGTCCCCAGATTGCTTTGTGCAGGTGACCGGGCGCAATGTGGACCACAGGGACCGGCTGCCGGTGCTGGGGATGTTCCCCTGGGAGGTGGCCCCGTGCTGGGGCTGCTGGGTGCCCTTGGTTTGGAACTGGTGGCCCTCCAGCGTGGCTGGGAGGTGGGTACCACCACGGGGGCTCATCCCCGTCCTGCTCGGGGGTTCTCGCAGGGACGGGCGAGCGGCCGTGGATGGGATGAGCGAGCAGGCTGGGGGCACTGGAGGTGGCTCCGGGTGATGTACCCTCCGTGTCTTTCCCACAGAGCTGGTTTTAGTCTCTTTTTAGAGAAGAGGACTGAGGTAGAGATGCCCTGGGGGTGGGCGGGATGCCCCGTCACCGATACCTGCGCCCACCTTGGCCGTGGTGCAGCTCCGATGCAGATCAGGAGCTGCAGCTCCCGGTTCTTCTCCCACTTCCAATTCCAGTTATGGAAAACACCCACAAACCTCAGAGATGGCTTCTGGCCAAGAGCTGTTGCCGGGACAGACTGTTCGTGGTCCTGCTGTCTAACACAGCTCTCTTACCACCTGAAAATACCTGATGGTCCAGACTCGTGCCTTGAAGGGGGTACTAAACTGTAATCGAATTGATAGCCTGACCTCCAGCAAGTCCATTTTAACAGTGACCCGCAGTGTCTGCAAACAGACAGACCTGCAGACTGGGGGAAAGGAGGGAGGCAAGTCAAGAGAAATAAAGTTGAATAAATATTTGCTCTGTGGCATCTACCGGAGAAATTCCTCCAGCAGGAAAACACACTGCAAATAAAGATACCCTATGCTGCTGGCTCTCCTTCCACCGCGGGATGGCTTGGCTTGGTTTTTGCCCCTTTGGGGCTCGCAGGCATCCTTGAAAATCAATCTTCACCACCGTGCCGTAGGCGGGGGACCCGTTCGGTTGATGGGAGCTGGGTCCCAGGGGAATCACTGGATGCCTGGAAGCAAAGCTGTGACCACCCAGCGCCCGGGGCTGCGTTTGGAGGAGGAGAACCGAGGGACATCAGGCAGGGCTGCTCAGATATAGGGCTGCTGCTGTGCAAAAAGCAACCCAGGAAGAGTCGTTAGGGCTCGAGCTAATTATAGTCTGTCTGGGTGGTGGTTGGAGGTTTATGAAATAGGAAGCGTTTTCTAGCTGCATGGCTGCTTTGCTCTGTAAGGAGGGTCTCGGTGACATGCAAAAGGGGCTGCACCTGCAGTGCCTGTTTCTTCTGAGCAGAAAGGCATGACAGGTCAGGAGAGCACAGGCTGGGCAGCGAGGAGCTGCCGCCGTCACGTGGCACCCAATTAAGTCAATTAGGTGGCTCCAGACAAGCTCCGGCCGGTGAGACGGGCATGGTCGCACGGATGGCACCAACGGCTGTGACTTCCTTAGGTTTAGATGTGCTTTGTTCCGACTCAGTTTGGTTATTTCCAGCACAGATTATCTCTACCTCCCTCATCAGGGAAGCCATTAGATTTAATTTGTTAACACTGGTAAAGCTCCGCTTCTCGGTTGGCTGGCGTTACCTACAAAAACTATTGTTTGATTTGTGATTATTCCTTAGTTTTTGAAAGGGAGTTTTAGTTTTTCCCCTTTGTACTAGTTGAGGTTTCTTCTGTAACCTTTGCTGTTGTTGTTTTGCACTGAGCAGAACATTGACTCATCAGCAGCCTCTGTGATAACTATAATTAGGAGAAAATGCATTTACAAAGCTCTTTCCTCTGATGCAAGCACATGATTGTCCTTGCAGAGAAATAATTCTTGCCATGCTTCCAGGTGGGTGTGGGCAGCTAGTGATTACATTTGACACTCTCATTATTTGAGTAGATTTTCCTAGCTGGATATGCTACCTACGGAGCAAGTGGTAGTCTGAAGCCGTCTTTATACTACCCACTTGTTTTGAGCATAAGTCTTTACTGATGCATTTAAACATACAGGAAAAGAATATGAATGCCTAGAATGGAGTAGTAATCAAAAAGAGCATTGAGATGGTGTCATATACCCAGGGACTTATTTAGTGCTTTTGAAAAAGAATAAAAATCAAGAAAAAAATATTCACTGAAGCTTTGTCAAAACATCAGCTGGGGAAGAGGCTTGTGGGGAGAACATCTCTGCTTGGCCATCCCTTCCCGCCGCTGTCCCTGAGCTGTGCTTTGACTGGTGTCTTGCTTTTTTGCAGGGAGCAACGTGACCCTTTGTGCCCTGCTCCCAGCCAGGTCGGACTTGTCGCCTGGATGACCCAGCACCGCTGGCCTGGCTACCTCTTCCCCACCACCCCCAAATCCCCTTGCGTGCCCCCAGTGCAGGGGCTGGGGGCTCGGGTGACTCTGCCTGCCTCATCGGGGCGAGAAAAAAGGCTGGGAGCTCACAGCATCCCCTCCTGTCCCTCTGCCCTGATGCCAGAGCTGCTCTGCAGCCTGCTCATTGCTTTTTTGGGTTTGATCCGTTAGCACCGAACTCTGCTCCCCCTGCCCGCGCCTTCCTTGGACACCGGCATTGCTGCGCATGGGTTTTGCTTTTCCTAGTTGCAAACGCTCGCTGGAGGGAACAGACCTTGGCAATATTATAAAGGGAAGTGGAGTAAAGACCAGTTGAGCTGCACAGGTCTTTTTCTCTTCGTCTTACACCTTGCAAGGCCAAGGAAGAACCGTCGATCTAATATCCCATTAAAATGCTGCTGTGCTCATCAGGATAACCGCTGGGAGAAGAGGCAGAGCTCAGCCCGGCTCCAGACAGTGAGAAAGCTCATAAATGTCTCCCTTCGCTTCAGGGGGAAAAGCACAATTTAGAAAACCGTCTTGGTGGCTAAATAATAGGAAATACCTACGCACATCGTAGGCTGCTGCGTTTTACTTCGTCACCTCAATTATTGCAGGTTCAATAGCTCAAATTAATCAGTGCCGTGCCGCTGTAGATAACAGGAGAGATTACAGCCCCGGACTGGCAACAGCCCATTTCTGCGGTTGCAGGAGCACTGGTTAGGCAGGCTCGGGTCGGTCGCTTATACCTGCAAGCATCTGATCTCGGATTGTCTTGAGACACCCTTTTGAGGGCTCTCCGTAACATTTTCCATCGACGGTTACCCCCCACCTGCCCTCTGCCTCCTGGGGGGGATTCGTGCCCCAAATCCCTGCCCGTATTGTCCCGCTGGGGTTGGTCTGATCCGGACACGCGGGGTCCAAGAGCTTTTGGTGGTGCTGTGCTTTGCTGTTGTGAGCTGAAGGCGGTGGAGTGGCTGCTGCCAGAGCTGGCTGGGGCAGGTGATTAAAAAAACAAATCACCTTTGGTTTTGCAGCAAATTAAGATAGGATTGCTGCATATCTTCCTCTCGGTGTAAGAGCAGGAGGGGCTCTGAGGGCGTTTATCAGCCAGTGCAAATGGCTGAGGCAGGTCAACCCTTGGTTACTTATTCCTCCAGCAAAGATACGTGAGGTTTTCTAGTTCCTGTGTTATTTTGTACATGTGCACAGTAAAGACGGTCCCGACCTTCAAAGCACCAACCGAAACACTTCCAGTTCCTCCTGCCAGAGGCTGGCACTGAGCTGCTTATCTGCCTTGTCGGGAAACTGCAATAAATGCACCTCCAGCGGGCACGGCTGCCCCGCGTGTTTTACTTTTCATTGTTCCTTGGCCTCCGTCTGTGACGGGCCATTTGACACATTTATAAATGGGTTTGTGCTGTGTGGGATTAACCTACGTTTATCATAATTCCAGTACAGAGAAGTAAATGCTCATTTCAATACAAAAAGTGACCCAGGTTGTTTCCCACGCAGAAGGAGGGTATGTTTAGTAGGGTGGAAAGCACGGAGGTCAGTGCCCTGGTACAGTGAATTCCCCAGTCATCTCTGGAGCAGAGAGAGTCTGTTTGCTCAGTGCCTTGTGCTCTGGCCTCTGGGCATAAAAATAACCAAATACAAATAACACAAATAATGAGTGTTCTTACTAAGCTTTTAGCTCCGTAAGCCACAGACAAAGGGGGACCCGGACTGATGTTAGCAGGGCTGCGGGAAGGCAGAGGAGTTTACCTACACCTGGGGCCTGAAGTTTGCAGCAAAACGTGGGTCTCTGCTCCAGAAGCACATTGCTGACTTGGAGCAGAGAAAATTGCCTTCCTATCGATTTCCAGCCTGTATCTTCTGCAGGAGCACTTTTCTTGGGGCTGAGTACTCATGTACCAACAAATATGTTCTGTTAATGTATTATTACTAATAGTATCTTAAACTTCTTATCAGGCCAAGCTGGATTATCTTGCTCCTCTCTCTGGGCTATTCAGCCCAGTCTTGTCTCTCACTAGAGAATTCCTCCACCTCCCTTCTATTTAGGAAGGCTTACACACAAGCCACCTCCCTTGGGGAACAGGTAGGAATGCCAAATAACAAATGTTTGCTACCAAGACGGTGTGTCTCATGCAAATGCTTCCAACCTCATGCACTGACCTTTCCTTTGTTATCCTTATCTTTTAAAGAGAACAGTTTCTAAAGCTTTTATTTGGGGAAAAAAGCAAACAACCCAGGTTTCCCCCCCACCTTTCCCTCCATCCACAGTCAGCGATGCCCGAGCAGCCTGTCCCACCTTGCAGCCTATGGACAGACGTTATTTTGCTGCTGGGGTCAAGCGGTGTTCGGGATGAAAGTTAGCATCGTTCATAAAAGTCACCAGATGCGATACGCTCTGTGTCAGAAGCCCTGTGCCACAGGGGGATTGTGCTGAGCTTTATTGTGTCGAGGCAGACTCAGCTTGCAAGCAAAGTCCTCGCCGTGCACGGATCTACCAGGCAGACCGTTCCATCTGCCCTTTCCCCGTCTCCTTCTCCATCCTTGCAGGCCCGAGTCCCGCGTCTGGAAGGTGATGTTGCTGCTGGGGACGTGCCTGCTGTACTGCGCCCGTGTCACCGTGCCCATCTGCGCCGTCGCCCTCAGCGCCCGCTTCGACTGGGACAAGAAGCAGTCGGGCATAGTGCTCAGCAGCTTCTTCTGGGGCTACTGCTTGACACAGATTATCGGAGGACATATCAGTGATCAGTACTGGCAATTATTCTTACGTTTTCCTCTGCTCGGGCTTTTTTCATGGCGCTTAGCTTCGTTTTGATCTCTCGGTTCCAGTCTCAACAGTGGCTGTGCCAAGTTTCACCCTGGGACAGAGATAGGGTGGGAGGGGGAAGCGTGTCCACGGGGAGAAGTTTTATGGGGCACTGCAGGTTGCTCTGAAAGCGGTTGAGGTCTCTCCATCAGCCTCACTCGGGGTCTATAGCTCTGATTCAGAAAGGACACGTGTAGTTTTGACTGCCCGATTAGATTCCTGGGTCTTGGAATTGCTGCTGGGCTTATTGGGCAGTATGCACAGAAGGACTTTGCACAGGCAAAATCCCCAGCAAACACAGGGAGTGTCTACACGATCGTTACTGCCCCGACAGTTCCTGCAGAGCAGCTGCCAGGAGAGACCTACAGTCATGGATGCTTAGACCAGCATTGGGTTTTTTTACCTGGAAACAGTGAAGAGCACTTTTATACCAGCATAATTTTTCTGATGGAGGTTGTTTTTAGCGCTGGTTCAGTAACTGGAATAAAAAAAGCAAACCCACAAGCTTACACGTTAAGCTGATGAAAGGAATAGTGGGTGTAAAGCAAACTTTATTTTAGAAAAGTGATAAATGCTGATGCTTATGCATAGTTCATAGCTGCTGCTCACTGGGAGTGTTATTTGTTCATTAACAAACAGCTTAATCCCAGCAGTGCCAGACAGCCATTTGGAAGGGTTTCTAGCTGCAATCACTAACCACAAGAAGAAAATATTTCCTTTTTGCAAGCAACACAGCTTTTTTCTGTTTGATCTGCATAGTCGATCTTCATTTTCAGTTCAGCACCTCCAGTTTTTCCACCCTATATTCTCACGCAATCTTTTCACAAGCAAGACCCCATCACCGTTTCCATCATGTTTGGGAAAACCAAGTGTCTCCATTTTATCATATCAATTAAGAAACAACTTCCCCAGGTAGCCGTAAGGAAAGATCTGAGTAATTACCTGCTCAAGTTCCTTTCCCCAGCCACCCTATTCTTAGCGAGGAGGGCTTTCCTATGAAATCTTTTGTGAGGAACACATGCCTGGAAGGAGGACATTATCCATGCAGCGCACTATGCTATTTAATTATGTTCCTTAATAGTTTGCAAGCAAACGCCTGCAAAAAACCAAATGTTAGCAGGCAGAGCTGATGCAAAAGAGCAGATGGAAGAGGAAACACAGCGCCTGGTTAAGAAAAGCAGAAGGGTGACAGCAGCTTGGGCTTCCCCTCCGTCAGAAGCTTGAGTGCATCAGCACGATGGCATCTCTGGGGCCGGTGCGTGCTGGAGTTGGACGGGCAGCACTGGTGCCCAGTGTCCCGGTGAGAGCAATGCTGGTGGCCAGCTGCTCGCTGCCGGCTCCCGGGGAGCAGGAGGTGGGAAGGGAGGAGGTCAGAGCTGCTCCCCAGAGGGCTAAAGGCTTTTGTAAGGTTTAGAAAACCTCAGAGAACAGGTTTGACTGAAAGGTTGCTCTTAAAAACAGGCTCAACTGGGAAAAGCGCTTGAGTCTTGACTGGGGGACTTTGCCCTTTCGCCCTCCCCTTGTTTTCGATAACGTGTTTTCTGTCTTGCAGAATAGGAGGTGAGAAAGTCCTCCTCCTCTCCGCATCAGCCTGGGGGTTCCTCACGGTCCTCACCCCTCTGCTCACCCACATCACTTCTGCCCATCTCGTTTTTATGACCTCCTCCAGGTTCCTCATGGGGTTGCTGCAAGGTGAGACCCCTGTCCTGCGCACGTGTCTGTGTGTCTGTCCGCCCAGGGGCTTCCTTGCAGGGGGGCTCATGTGCGGTAAATTCAGATGCAAGTCATGTGGTTTGCAGTGCGTGAGCCCTTCTCTTGCGTGTTCGAGCAAACCTCTGCCTCAAAACTGCCTCTGCATCCAGAACTTCCACGGGAAAAAAAAAAAAAAGTGACATTTCTAGAGAAAGTCGCTGACAAATCATTCCCCTGTAGAAATCTCTGTCAGGCAAGGGCTGCTGCCTTCTGAAATCATCACTGTTCCTGTTTGATTTTCCGCATTTTAAAACTCCTTCAAAGGACTTGGGGAAAATTAGTCCTTGCCAAAACTTTTGCATAATTTGGGATGATTTTCCTTCCCTCTTGCTGAGCTGCAGCACTGTTGAACCGTTGGGATAAGTGCATTGGCACTGATGGATTTACGGTCGCGGCGGTGACGGTGAAACAGGGGATTACGGAGAAGGCAGAAACAAAGCTTTCATGGCGATGGAGTCACTTATTTTCTTTTATATCCCTGTTTGGAATTCACCAAAGGTTTTGTTGCTTTGTCTCGGTGTTTTAACTCCTGCTGGATCTTTTAAATTTGCTTTTGATTTGCTCACGAGGGCACAGGAGCCTGACTGATCCCTGCCTTGCTCACAGGGGTGTATTTCCCATCCCTGGCCAGCCTGCTGTCCCAGAAGGTCCGGGAGAATGAGCGAGCCTTCACCTACAGCACAGTGGGGACCGGCTCCCAGTGTGGGTAAGTTCAAAAGGCTTTGAGCAGCGAGTGACAGTCTCTGGACATCATACGTGATGAAATGCCATTAAATAGTTGGAGGCAAAACTCGCAGCCCAAAGTACGTGTGGATTCCTGGGTCCTTGAGGATACCGGCTGCAGCTGAGGAAGCCTCAGGCAGTTGCTGTCGTGCACGTCAAGGATTTATGGGGGTTTTTTTTCTTTCTTTTCAAGCCAGACTTCGAAGAGTGTTTGCAACTTTTAAATTACGATGGGAAACAGCCTGCTCCAGCAGGAAGAGCAGGGGTCAGCCCAAGACTGGTCACCTGTCCTCTCTGATAGATGGGGATAATATAACTTCCCCATCTCTGCTAATCTCCACGAGAATTTCCTTTCTAAATGGAAGGGTTGCTTAAAAGCCAAATAGAAATATTACTGTGTTTAATCACTTAGTTTCCCAGTGTATTCATTTCTTTGGCTGGTCCATACATTCCCTGAGATACTTCCCTTAGTGGTTTCTCTACTGATGACTTTTTTAAGCACATTTAGTGACACGCAGCATCCTCCCCGGGGAGCATCTCCCGTTGACGCGTGCAGCCCAAACGCTCTTAGCCAGACCTGTAAATCCGAGTGGGGTTTCCCTTGCAGGACGCTGGTGATCGGCGGTGCGGGGTCTCTTCTCCTGGACTGGTACGGCTGGGAGAGCGTTTTCTATTTCTCCGGTTTGCTCACTTTGCTCTGGGTTTACTGCACCTGCAAGTACCTCCTGAATGAGAAAGGTAAGTCCAGCCGCCTGCATCCCTCGGGCTGCCAGCACTCCTGAGGCTGCGGGACCCGAGTGGTGCCTCTCCGCTATTTTCTACAAATCCTCCGTGTTTCTAAGGTTTTACACAAAGACCTTTTGTTCAGATGTCTTCTCTAACACACGCTGTGTCTCACCCAAGATGCTAAACCCAGAAACAAGGTTTTGAGCTCTTGCGTTGCTGATTTCCTATTTCAAGTCCCACGCTGGATTATATTGCTGTCGAGAGCCTGATCTGACTCCTCAGTACTCTTAAGCACCAGTGAAAACACCAAACAGAGCATGATCTTCAAAGTGGATTAAGCTAAAGCAGGGCAAGATACTTATTACAAACTAAGAACATCTACACATAGAGCTTTTAAAAACCAGTTAATCCGGAATATCTCTTCCCAAATAACTGTCTGGGAGTAATTCCACACATGGGGAAACCATTAGACCTGGCTACAGCATTATTAGTGTGAGCGTGGCATGTAGAAGCCCAGCTCATCAGGAGGCAGGCGTGTGCCTGGTGCTAGACAAAATCCAAACCTGGTCTTTGCCCAAGAGGTTTTTGTTTCAATATAACAAGAGATATAACAAATGGGGGAAGGTGGCTGGATGGGGAAGTGTGTGGATGCAGTGGAAAAATTTTGGTCAACAGAACAAGGTGTTTTCATGAGCCTTCAATGGTGGTGTAGCCAAAAAACAAGGGTTAGAAGGAGATTAAAGGTGGTTGTATAGTGGGCTCCCAGGGCTCCCTCCAGCTGCACAGAAAATTACTGATCAAAGCTGTCCTTTGTATGTTTTCTTCCCTGCAGAACTCATCATCCCCATAGACTATTTAATGAGAAGCCTCTCGATATCCAAGCAGACCAAAGTTCCCTGGAAGCAGCTGTTTAAGAAGGCGCCGATATGGTAGGCAGCTGTGGTGGCCTCGAGCACTGGCAGGGCTGGGAGAGCACCCTGCTTCCAAGGGCTTCTTGTCCTCTCTGTGCTTATTTCTTCTGCCTATGTGTTTGCCCACTTATTTGTTGGGAAATATTACTGGGTTTTCTAATCCCTTCTGTATAAAGAACTAAAAAGGTAAGCTTGACTAATGGCAGTTTATGTTCTGTCCGGAGGAATGTCAGGCTTGAATGTTACTGGCAAATCTTTCTCCTTCACAGGCTGTTCCCTGGATGAGTTGTGTGCTCCTCCGGAGTGATGTTCTCCACTGGGCTTGTTAGAAATGCTGCTTGTAAAGGGCTCCTAAGAAGTGCTGCTCAGAGGCACTGGGTGGCACAGGCTGTGTTCTCCTTGCTGGCAAAACATCTTTTTAATAGCCATAGGATATTTTAATAGCCATAGGATATTTTAATAGCCATAGGAACAGCCATAGGATGCTGCATTTGGTACTGAAGCTCATCCAAGCATGTTCCCAAGTGCCGTTTAAAGACGAGGCGGAGGGCGATGGGGCCGCGGGGCAGCAAGCCCATTCCTGCCTTGAATAACCATGGAGCATCTGCTGATAACAAATCCCTAGAAAACCCTAAACAACACCTCTTGGAGCGGGACAGCTCTTGCAGCGCTCGAAGGGACTGGTGGGAAATGCACTCGCACAATTACCGCTGCAATTAACCTCGCCTGAACCCAGGGGCTGACGTCAGGCGCCCGCCCGGGCGCTGTGCGGTGAGGGCAGCGAAGGAACGAGCGGTGCTGCAAGGTGGCAAGCCAAAAAGGAGTAGTTACCTGTGAAAAAAATCTCAGGAATTGTAGCACTGTGAGGGATTTATTTATAGACCAGGAACTGAAATACCGGGTTGCTCGAGTGCCCGTTTCCCACCCCGTGTGACATGTCACTCCTGATTATTTCCTCTCCGCTGTGTATTTTCAGGGCTGTCATCATCGCTCAGCTTTCTACGGCCAGCACGTTTTTCACTCTCCTCTCCTGGCTGCCGACGTTCTTTAAGGAGACTTTCCCCGAGTCAAAGGTAAGTTGGCTCTGAGACACAGGCATTGCCGGTCCCTGCGCAAACGAGGTTGTGCTGGGTACCTGCCGGAACGGGTTGGTTAGGGAGGATGATGATGGCAGAGGGATTTGGTGAGAGCAGGCTGGGAGGCAAGAGGAGGCGGGAGGTTTCCCTGTGGGGTTGGGAGCCATTACCCCCCTGCACAGATATTTGGAGATGCAAGCATCCTCCCTCCAGGTAGGCAGAGAGAGGCTGGTTTCTAGTTGCTTGTTTAGGGATGCCGAAGTGAGGCAGAGCTGGGGAACCTTCCAGGCAGGGAAGAGGGGCTTATATGTGGTTTTCAGACTGCTTTTCTTCCGAGGAAAGGATGGTTTTCAAACGGCACAGAGCTCATGACATTATGCTGTTGCAAATGACCACCATTCACTCCTGGGTTTTCACGGGGTTTTTAACTGTACTGACATTGTCTAGCTCAGACCTGCCAGCGAAAACGATAATTACCATTAATGACATGTACTTCAAAAATACTGCCAAAGCTACCCTCTCCTCAGTACAAATGGTGTTCCCATTTTTCAGAAACCTAGGCAATACTCATCTGGGCTGAAAGCTGGTATTTTGATCTTGTTCTCAGAAACTCAGACAATCTTTTCCACGATGGGTCTATTAGGTTTTTAGAATTTCCAGAGCTGCTTACAAATGCCTTTTCATATGGCATGTGTAAGGCGCTTTATGGCATACTCGATATTTATATTAAAATCATGTATTAAACCAGCAAACATATTGTTGTGACAAGATCTGTGCACCTCGAGTAATGTGCTTGTGCAGCAGTAATTTACCATCTGTTAAGCATTATATCATGGTGCCCTTACGTAAGATGCTCTATATAGCATTCCTGCATCTGATAATCACTTTATACATCTCAATAAAAGGGGGCTTGAGGAAGCTTGATTTTAAAGGATGGACGATAATCCTTAATGTGGGAAACCTGTGGCACCTACTGGTCAAAGTCCCTTTCTGCAGGTGAGCTGCCTTCACCAGCTGCCTGCAGCCCACCTGGATGGATGGATGGATGGATGGATGGATGGATGGATGGATGGATGTGATGGAGGGTTTTGGCTGACGCTGCTCAGGGCGATGGGCTGTAGAGATGGACAAAGGTGTTTCAGTGTTTTGGGATTGACTTGCTGAGCAAGCCCAGCTGGTGTTAACAGACACCAGAGACATCACCCCACAGGCCCTCGGGGGTAACATTTCCAAAAGCGACCAAGACCCAAAGTTTCAAAGCCACTGAAAGATGGACCCTGGTACGATTTCCAGGAGCAGCTGAAACAGGATTTTTCAAAACCAAGATTATTTGGCCCTCCCACGCATCCTGAAGCCAGGCGAGGAAGGGAGGGATGCCTCCACGGGGTGACGGGCTCGGAGCAAAGGGGGAGATGCGGGGGACGACGGATGGATGGATCAGTAGGTTCAACCAGCTGAGATGAAGCCCAGCCCAACCCGCGCTGGATTTCAGCTCCTCGTGGGATCTGGGCACCAAAACGCATCTGAGCAGCTGTAATCCAGATGACCAGTAATCATCTGTGATTACAACTGTAGCAAGCTCGCTTAATTGAAAATAGGCCGAAGTATGTTGCTACCCATAATGTTACCTAATCCTGGCATTAGAAAATCCAGCTATGTTCCCTCAGCTTCACAGTAACGCTGCTAATGAGGTTGAAGCTGATGTCGGAAATTTTGCCGGCAGCTTTACTGATGACCCACAGGGCAGAGTAAAATCTACAGCTTGCTTTCCAGGGCTCTGTGGCTCTCTGCCACATCACCTTGCTGAACAGTAAACTTTGCCACGTTTAATCCCTCTTTCCCAGAGCAGACAGAGCTTTCTGCCTCTCCCCTGGACGCAGGGTCACCGGGGCAGAAGGAAAGACAACAAACTTATGAATGCTACAGCCCCGTGATGTGCCTGCCGCCTTACAGACTTGGGAGTGATGCAGGGTGTAACTGGGAGCTTGCTGGGCACAGGGGGTAGAGATCCTGCAAGAAGTCCTGATCGCTTCATTTTTTTTTTTTTTCCTTTCTACAGCTATCACAGACTATCAGATAGAATATTTGCAAACAAACTGAGCTCTGACAGCAAACCTCTCTTGATTTTTGCTCCCTTTCAGGGTTGGGTGTTTAATGTAGTCCCCTGGCTGGTTGCAATTCCTACAAGCTTGTTCAGTGGATTTCTGTCTGATCATTTAATCAACCAGGGTAAGAGCTCTTTTGGCTTTTCCTCAGCTCTTATTTTATGTGATGGGGAAGGAGGACCTGGGTGGGAGGAGGTGGGTTTGTTGGTAGGGAGAAGACCCAGCAAATAGACAACCTGAGGTTCTGATATTAAAGCAGAATAAACACTCCAGGGTCCAAATCCCATCCATGTGTTTGGATGTCAGTTTGATCTCAGTCGCAATATCCACGTGGAGATGAAATCTGGCCATCTGAAATCCTCTTACCATGTGGTCTCCTGGCTGGAGAACAAGGGAGCCTGGTGAGCTGTGCTTAACTGCAACTCTCCCTTTCTCTTCCAGGGTACAAAACCATCACCATTCGTAAGTTCATGCAGGTAAGAGAGCTGAAGCCACGGGAGAGACACCCGAGTTACCTGCTGACCTCTGCTTACATGGCAGATTAGACCTCTTATGGAGCTGGGATCATGGTTATAGGCGGAAAGAGGAAAGGTTTTCTAGCTGTGCAGATCGATCGGTGGTCAGTGCGTATGGGAAATGAAATCCAGAGCAAAGCCCTGGCAGAGGAACAGAGCGTGGTCCAACGGTAACACTGAGCACAGAGATTCGTGAGTGCTCCGGAGAGGTTTTCTTTCACAGGCAAAGGCCAACCGTACGCTGTCTTTCTAAATGACCCCTTAGATACTGAGGAAATAGCAATACAAGGATGAACAGAAATAGAAGTGCTGGGTGAGAGCACAGCGTATCCTCTGCTCCGCAGCACCGCATCCCTCTGGACAGACCTCTGACACAGAAAGGCAGGACACAGGGAAAAAAAAGGCTTGAGAAGCACCTGGTGCACACAAGCCCTTGCCATCGTAAAAGGGAACAGTTTGTCCATGAAAGGAGTTGCTTTCTTCCTTAAAGAAAATGTGCTGTGCTATTTAATTTTCCCTTTCTTCCAGGTCATTGGCTCCGGCGTCTCAAGCGTTTTTGCTCTGTGCCTGGGCCAGACCTCCAGTTTTTGCAAAGCGATAGTGTTTGCCTCTGCCTCTGTCGGACTTCAGACCTTTAACCACAGGTAACGAGAGTGATAACGACAGTAGCTGTGGCCCTTAGCTCTTACCCCATGCTTGGCATTCCGGGGTCTCAGAGGAGGCTGCCACTTGGAGTTGAATCCTTTTCCTCCTGGTATTCTCCCGTGCTGCTTCACTCTCGGCCTCTTTCCTCCTTTCTCCTGACAGTGCCATTTATTGTCTAGGAGCCCTTCCTTTCGTTTGGCAAACTAAACTGTGTAAATGATGAAAAAGCAATCGCGCTCCGTTAAAACTGCCATTTTCCCCTCTCTGTTTCTCACTAGTGGCATTTCAGTAAACGTACAGGATCTGGCCCCCTCGTGTGCCGGCTTGCTGTTCGGTAAGGATTCTGGTGGGGTTTCTGTTGTGCTGGAAAATGGTGTGTACGGGAGGGGACACGGTCATCAGCATTAAAGTCTGAGCAGGAGTATTTCTGTGCAATGTCTACTCCGTATTTGCAACCTCAGCGTCCTTCTGTGATATATGTGCCATTGCTGGGGGCAGGTAACTGCACCAACACGCCTTTCAATTTGCCAAATGCTTACCTGCACGGCGGGCTGGGGATGAGGATGAGTGTGGGTTATCCCAGCCATGAGCAAGGGGTTTTGCTGAGCTGGGGGTCGGGCGGGAGCCTGGCAGAAGCCGCTCCTGTCTGCGGGTTTTGAATATGCAATTTCTTGCTTTTCTTTACAGGTGTTGGGAATACAGGTGGAGCCCTCCTAGGTAAGGTATCCTCCTGCAGCTCATCCTTTCCTGGGAATCCTCTCCTCGCAAGCGGGCAGGATCCCGCATTTCTTTGCATTTCTTTCTCTTTTTTCCTGCCCCAGGTGTCATCTGCGTGTACTTGGCTGGCTACTTGATTGAAACGACTGGCTCCTGGATTTCTGTTTTCAATCTGGTGGCTGCCGTTAACAGCATTGGCCTCTGTGCATTCCTCGTGTTTGGAGAGGCCCAGAGGGTGGACACAGACTCTGCATACGTGGACCTCTAGAGAGGAGTCCAGCAAGCAGCCAAAGGACAGGAGAGTGTCACGTCTATGTGTCATTGTCGCACAAGTGCCAAAGAACATTTTTTTTTTTTTAGGTGTTAAAGAGGAAAAAAAATATACTGAGACCAAGTATATAATGGGTCTGGGTGAAACCCATGGGAGAGAAGAAATTTAGCATTCATTTTTTGCTCAGGGCATAGCTGATGGCCAGCAGAGCCGTCCAGCTCAACATCTCCAGTGAGGATACGGCCCAGGAGACCAGTTTGCCCCAATCCGTGTCCAGTGGACAAATATCCATGGGGCCAAAGCAGCTTACCCGGCTTGTCTCCGAAGGCTGCTGCGGTTTGCATGCTCTGCCCTGGAGGGTGCCCGGCTCTTGGGCTGCCACTCAACACGTGTCCTCTGAACGACATGAAAGGAATAACCCAAACAAACGTACCTCTGACCTTAACCCTCCCTCGCGTGCCTTCATTTTGCAATCTGCTTGACAGGTACGAGCCAGGCGTACAGGAGAAGGGGTTGTGAGATGAAGTCGAGGCTTCCCTTCAGGGGAAGCCTTCTGGCTGGATGACTACTGTGGACCCAGGGGCAGGAGGTTGCATCAAGACTGCCTTCCCCGCGCTCCAGCTGAGCCGGGAACGCTGCAGACCAGACCGCTCAAACCAGCTGAGCCCACTTTGCTCAAGGGCTCCCTCCTTTCCGAGTCGTTTTATTCCAGCCCTGAGCCACGGCAGACCACCTCCGACGTGAGAGCGAAGCTGCAATCACCCGTGGTCAGGCTTAGCTGGGCTGACCTCGCGGTGGAGGGGCAGCCAAGGAATCCCCCGGGAGCTGTTTTGCCATATGCTGTGAATGTATAGGAAGAACAGGTCGTGTTCTGTGCTATGGATCTATACTCCCAAATGCTTTCTGCTTGATCAGATGTGTTCTCCACGTGCCCTCGAAAGGGTGCGGGAGACTTTCCAAAGAGCCTGCAACGGGCAGGTTTTGTTTCTACATGAAGCGTAAAGCAAATTTCTCCATTGGGGATCCATAGTACTGGATGTGGATCCCTGCGGTTCCCCGTGTCAGAGGGAAATGCTCGGCTGTACACGCCTCTGAGCCTGAATGTCTTAAGTTATTTATAAATATTTTTAAATTTAAGTACCAAATTCTATATTTTATGTACTTGAGGCCTGATTCTGCATGCTTATTTTGAGTGGTACTCCCACCAAACCCCACAGTATTTCTGGAAGGGAAGGATTTACCAGCCTACAGTTTCCGGTTTTGTAGGATCTATTTTAAATGTGACATTTCATATTAAAGCAATTCATTGCTTTTCCTCCCACCCCTTGCTCGCAGCCTGAAGGGATCTCTTTGATTTCTCTCGTGCTTACCAGAAAACTTCACTTGAGACTTGGGAGCAGATTTCCCAAGGGACCTCGCTGTGCAGGAAAGCTGTAGGTTCAGATTCATCGTCCTTAAAAAAAATAATTATCCCCTGCTTCTCCTTTTGTTTTAGCTGACTTTCTTCTTGGAAGATATGTTGGAGCCATGTTAAGTTTCTGAATAGCTGGGTTTATAGTGAAAATACTGACAGCCTTTTAATTGCAGAGTCACTAACGGGTGCCACCAACCTAAGCTGAGGTACTTTTTGGGGATATTAAGAGATAAAGATGCAACTGCCTGATGTCTTTGCAAGAGAATATAGGATCAGTGTGGCCTGATTGGGGGCCAGAGAGATAAGAAAGTTTTTTTTTCTCCTTCTGTGCTTTTTTTCTCTAAAAGCCTGGTTGCTACCATAGGTACAACCCTGTATCTGGGGTGGTGCAGTGCTGCAGAGCCAGGACACATGAGCACTGCCGGGAAGCTTCTCAAAATCGGGTGGTAAAATGGGGAGGGCACACAGAGCAAATGCAAACCAGGCTTGCCAAAGAGGCCTAAGGCTGTGCAGACATCTCTGCCAGCCTTGTCCCTTGTCCAGTCTGAGCAGATTGTTTGCATGGCCTTTTCTATAGCGACATAAGAAAAAAAAAGGTGGGTTTTGTTATGGGTTTTTTGACATCTTCCCTGAGTGTTCGGTGTTGTGGGTCAGGAGCACAAGGAGTGAATTCTGGTTCTCTGTGCTGGATGCACCATTTCACGTGGAAATGTTGATGAGTTTGAATCACTTGCATTTGAACCAGGCGGCTTGGCCACCCCTTGGCTCTGCAAGCTGGGAAATTTGGAACTAAGAATTTCAAAGGAAAGTCAATGTTGCTGGCTGTGCCTTCTTTGTAAATCCAGTTAACACTTTGGTGGGCTGTCCAGATTATCTGTCTCTGTAAACTGGTTAATAAGTTAAATATTTGAAATACACTTGAGGCTTAGGTTTCATTATGTTCGTACCTCTTTGGCGAAGTATTGAAACCATTTTACATAGCTGTACTGTTATATGTTTAAGCAACCTTGCCAAAGCTTGCTGTCTGAGAGTTTTTGTTATGGAAGGACCTAAAAAAAAATAAAGGCAGCAAATCATTTGCACACTGTCTGATTTTCCGTTGAATGCAGAGGTGCTAATTTGTGTGATCAGTAAGGGACAGAGCTCATCTGTGTTTAATGTGATTAACTCCTTAGGGCTGGTGGGAGAGGATGGGGAGGCTATGCTGGCAGAATATCTGGGCTGGTAGATTTTCACAGCAACCTTGTGTCTACTCATACCTCAGCCCTCAGAGTGTATCCAGCTCCATCTTCTTCCCACTTCTTTTGGAAAAAATGACCGACAAGCTGTCTTCAGCAGAGCTGTGGTCAGTACAGCACCAGGAGACATGCTCCAGAAGCGGTTCTTCGAGTAAAAACACAAATGAAGCAAGTCTTCGGTTAGGTGGGATGTACCCCCGCAGCCAGACCACCTTCCACCTGGAGACTGCTTAAAAAAAAAAAGACATTGCCAACGGTTTTGCATCCTCGCTGAGAGGTTCGAAGAGATGCCAACAGAGGGAGCTGTAAGATTTGGGATGTGGCAGCTCCTGGCCGGCCGAGAGCTGCTCAGCCTGGCCCTGGCACAGCTGGCACAGCTGGCACAGATGCTGTGGCTGGTTTGGCTGGCACAGCTGGCACAGCTGGGCAGCCAGCAGAGCCTGTCCCCACCGAGGAGCAGCCCTGGCTGGTGGTTCTCACCGCCGGAGCCCGTGCTGGGGAGTCCCAGGACCTGCTGTGCCAGCATTCGCTTTCCCTCTTCATTTGGCAATTTTTCAGCTAGTAAGGGGAAGGGGGGAGCAAAAGTTTGGGAAGGCGTTTTAAGAGGAGAAATAGCCACTAAAGGAACTTTAAAACCTCATCTGTAGGGTCATGTAATCAAGAAAATATCTTTAAGGACTGCAGAGTTCCCTAATTTTCTCCTCGATGTGCTCAGAAAAAAACCAGCATGAAACTTTGTGGTATGAAAATCTATCAGAATGCAAGTTATCCTCAACTTTTCCTGTCCTTTTACTCCTCTTATAAAGGTATAGACAACCTCTGACATACACACTTGAGCTACTTTGACCTGTAAAGCTCTAAGAAGCCACAGACCCACCTAAAACCCTGCCCTGTTCTTCATGGCATCCTGCATCTGTGTAAAGCCTAAGAGAAAAGAACGAGCTCTGCCACATTCCTTAAATTGTCTGGGTCCCAGGGCTACCCTGCCTGTCAGGCTGGATCCCAGTTTTCCAGCCTGCCCTGAGCCAGCAGGGACATGGGGACGGTGCGAAAGGGACTGGGAATCTGGGACTGGGCTTAAAGGCTGATTAATCACAGGTATATTGTATTGCTGCTGTGGGTTGGGATTGATGGGTCGGTTTGTATTTAAATTGTTTGGGGCATATTCAATAGTTGGCTCTAGAGCATTGGAAGGATCCTGTTTTATTGCAGTTTGCATAACACTAAATCAATAAACACATTCAAGCAGATGGAAAGCAAAACACAGGAGAAAAATAGCACTGTTTGGAGGAGAAAAGAAATAGCAAAGAGCACTTCTCGCTGATACTTTTGCCTTGAAAACACAAGCAGATGCTCTCACAGCAGAGACCTGATCTAACATCCACCTGCCAGCTCCCCAGGGCTGGGACATGCCCCAAAGACACCACCATTCTGCAAAGGGCACCCAGCACCGTAACAAGCAAAATATCACCATTTATTGCAGCCGTGACCTACTGCATGGCACGTAATGAGGAATTTTCCATTTCAAACTTTAATGCAATAATTAAGATGTCCATTAATGTCTTTACAGTTTGACTGCTTGTAATTAAAAATGGGGGTGGCGGGGGGGGGGCAATGGCAGGGAGTTGCAGTCCAGGGCATCAAGCTTCCGCCGGCACCTTTAAGTGCTCTCCCCTTTTTTCTTCCCTGTTTTGTTTTTTTCTTCAAAATAATTTTCCTGCTTTTGTTTGTAACTGTCCTCAGGGCAGGTGGCCTGAAAAACAGTCTTAGCTCCCACAGGTACAACCTGGTTTTAAAAGGGAGCTTTTCCCCTCTACCAAAACACCTCCAAAACACCAGTGGTGCTCCTGGGCTGCAGTTTTTGGGGGTCCCATCTGACAGCCCCGCAGCAGTGCTGGGTACACAGCGTGAGCCAGAACAGCCAAGCTCCATCAGCAAAGAGTTACAGGAATAACCCAAAAGCACAGCGTGACCGTCAGCCGCAGGAAAGGTAACTGGAGTTTTATGCTCCAGTTGGTTTCCAGACTGGTATAACTCCCTGCTTACACAGTTCCCAGTGCAGGATTAAGAGTGGGGTAGGTTTTAATCCAATCATGAAAAGAGAAGAAACCCCCATATAAACCCACATTTTCCAAAGGGTCTCTGCTCCTGGGAGGCTAAAGTCCCATTATCCAGTAATAGGATTTGGCCTCCTAAAGCAGGACTGAAATACTTGTAAAATTTTGTTCCCAATTCACCAGATTTTTGCAAAGGATTAACAAAAATTAATGATTTGACTAAGGAAGTAGCTGCCAGAAAAGCTTTGGCTGATCCCTTGAATCTCTTCCCAAATTGCTTTCCCCTGCTCTGTACAACTACCAATTTACTGGTGACTTGCTCTTGTTCTTCCAAACACAGCGCTGGGCGCGATCTCCTGGCACTTTGGCATTAATTATTCTCTCATAAATTGTTTTTAATTTCAGCTCCAAAGGAAAAAAAAAAAAAAATCCCACTTCCATGGGAGACAATGGAAAGGTACACATGTAGCAATTATCGGTAGGATTTTACACAAAGAATTAGCAACCTACTCGCGCATGTCCTGCATTCTCATTAAAGGCAAACCATTTGTGGTTGACAAGGGATTTTCCTGTGCAACCATTTAGGCTCGTTGCAGCTGCTAAATTCCTTTCATGTCGGGGTTTTTTTTCCCCTCTCCTACCGAGTCTCATAAAACCCCACTCATTTAGAATCTCTTCTGTGTACCTGCGTGAGTTACAAGTGAGGTGGATGCTTTCATGAGACTCATCCTTGGCCCTTCAGATACCCGGAGCTGGTGTGAACCTTGGCTGGTCACGGATTCCTTTCTATGTTTTTGCTCTTATTTTGCCCCAAATGAGACAAGCGATGGCTCGTGCCTGTAAACCCGGTGTCACAAGTTTCCTGGCTGCAGTCGCCTTCCTTGTAAAACCTTGTGGTTTTGCTGCTGCAACCAACCTGCTCCTCAGTGCATGCAGCTCCGCTCTGTCTCCTCCAGCATCCTCCCTCCGGCTCCTCCATCCCGTGGTCCAGCCTTCTCCCAGCCCCACTCCACAAGCCCATTTAGCAGGTTTGGGGGAGCAGACAAGGTCCCCACATGCCCCCAGGCTCACGGGAGGGAGGATGTGCCCTCTTCTTCTGCACCCCAGACCCTGATTATTTACTGGTTATTTAGCAAAGTAAACCCCCTAAACAAATAGTATTATCAGCAAGAGCATAATCAGATATCAGAAAGGAGGTCTTCAGATGAGTAATTTATCGTGATCTGGTTTATTTCATTTTATCTCAGCAATCTTGGGCACAATTGTGCTTTGAAAAGGGCTGGAGGCTTCAGTTCCCACCGCAGGAACCACCTGGACCAGCGAGAGCTCAGCGTAAAACCTCCGTCCCTGCAATTTCATTTTACAGAAATCTCTAAGTAGGACATGCACTGCAACAAAGTGGGTGACCTAAGAAATGTTTGCACAGCCCTGGGCTGTCCTTCCAGGAAAGCCAAGGCCTGTGGGAGATGGGCTGTTCTGCACCTGGACAAAAAGGTTTGGATCCAGGGACCATGACAAACCTTTTCAAAGGGGTACCTGTTTTCTGGGGATTTTGTGCCTGGACTCAGCTGGGAGCAGAAAATTAAAAATGAACTGATTTCTTAGTTAAATGATGCATTTTTCAGGATTAAAAACTATGGGGAAATTTTGATTGACCTCCAAATCAGACTTTTTTCCTGTCTTATGGCTCCACGGCAAGCTAAGTGAAAAGCTTTAGCCTTCATGTTGCCAGACTCTGGATGCAGCTCTTCACCCTTTGAGCTCTGTCAGATGCCAAGATGTCTCAGTACCCTCAAATAATTTCAATATTTTCAGAAATGCACTGTGTAATTTTGACTGGAATTAGGATAAAATTGCTGAAATCCAGAAACAGAGACAGAGACTTGAGATGGACAAACTCTTCCTGGCAAGTTTTGGAAATCTTTCATAATAGCTTAGGGTTGAAAAATGGGAACTGTTTGGGAGAGCTAAAAGATAAACATGCCTGGAACCAGCTGTATTTTAAAGGGTTTAGGATAGAAATCATGCCTGAAAGAGCATCACTAAGATGTATTACCCACAGGTTTAAAGGATATGGATAAAGCTGTTCAGGATGGAAACTGAACCACATTCACTGTTGCTTCAAAACCAGATATGCTAATACACATGCAATTATATGCCGAATTTGCTGTGGTAGTTAGCCTGGCTGAGACCTGCCTGTGTGGGTTGTATCTGCATGCACTGTCGCAGTAAAACACACCGAGTAGACATGTGAAAATCTGACTTGCAAATGTAACACCAAGGTAATGCAATTTGGGGTATTACTGGTTGGTTTTGCTGTTCAGATTGGGAGGGGGCTAAGTCTGACAGCTCAAATAAGGCATCTGCCTCCAGGAGTGCCCCAGATCACTGGAAACCGAGAGGGGTTTTGCATTAGCACCTACCCTTTTCTGGCAGGTTTAATGCAGAGCCAAAAACTAGAGCATGAGTAAGAAACGGCATATTTTGGCGTTGCTCAGGGCTTCGGTGTTTGTAGGTGAATCTTCACCACTGGGCTGGTGAGAACATGTCACCGCTCTCAGTAAAGGCACTGTTTTATCTCTTTTCCTTAAATGCAGTGCCAATTTTTATCCTCTTCTGATG